GGGTGTGATCAATAAAGTAACTGCGCTTCGCCATTACAAGGGATTACAAGATACCCCACACTGTTTCACTTTCCAATACATCTAGGCTTAGAGCACGAACTGATGCGTCCGGTATTTTCCCCACCTATAAGCTCCCTCGTCCAGATGACCAATAACTATAGACAACTACTGCTGGTAGTGTACTCGCACTATGCCGTGTTCTTACCTCATCAAATTAGTCAAGGTCCAGACCTAGCAAAAGCTTTCTAAGCCCCATCTCACGGCCGGCCTTGTTACCCTCAGTATTTTGGCGGGTTTTTATAGCCTCCCTGAAGCTCTCCCGCTAAATTGACCAAGACGTCTCCCCCCGTCTGTCCACTCGGGACCTCTCATCTTGTCCCGATTTAGGTGGGCGCTGAAGTAAGTGGTCATTCGTCGGTGGCGTTCTCTAAACGCCAAAGTCAGACATTTTTTTCCTCCATAGACTTGTGTTAAAATATCCGAGTCATGCACTCTGACATAATTCCGGTTCACAATGGAGGGCACCATTTGATTCTATTTAGAACCAAATGAAAGGCAAAGAGGAAAAGGTTCCTCGTGCACTGACTCTAGTTCGATTCGACATACATTTGACAGTAGACTTGTATTATAACTGGCCTATACCCTGAACCAGGGTGAGAAAGGCAATGGTGATGACAGTGTATTAAAACTATTAGTTGGTGTCGGTGGCCTATCGTTTAGGCTCTCGGACTCACAACCGTAAGGTCAAGGGTTCGAATCCCGTGAAGGGCCCGTCGTTGTGTCCTTGGGAAAGGCACTTTACACGAATTTTCCTCATTTCACCCAGGTGGGAATAGGTACCCAGCTATGGACAGCTAAAGATCTTGTCGGTTTGTTTGAACGTTTGATCGGCCGCTTGCACTGTATGCTTCCCGGGAATTAATATTTCAACCATGCGATCTCTAAATCTTAAATGACGTAGACGACACACATGTCCAATCAGCAACATATCAAAAGCAGTTTCAGCATATAATTTGTTACCATAAGACAACCATCACGCATAAATCAGACATACGACTTTGTATATTATTTGTATAAATTTCCGTTCTCGACTAGTAAATTTCATCTGGTGGAAATTTGGAAATTTACGTTGATTGATAACAACACCGACGCATTGTCGCACAGCCAATTATTATTATATTGTTATTGTACTTTCTAATAAATTCCATTTTATTGACTTACACGTTTTAAGAATAACGTCATAGCTACATTCGATGGTCAAGAAGTAACTCGACTGCCGCCC